TGAGGTGTCTCCTCTTAGTGATGCAGCAATTGCTGTCTCCGTTAGTCTTTTTGCTGCTGCTTGCGCAGCTCTGCTGCTGCTTCATTTCTCTACCGTGCTGCTCTCAGGACCCCTTATGGATTAGGGCTTAGGGTTTAGGGTTTAGGGTTTAGGGTTTACAGGCTTCCACCGCCTCTTCTTGCCTATCATCTTCAGCCTCCGCCTCAGCGCCGCTACGGCGCGGCTGGGCAATGCAGCGCACGGGGACATACCCTGCAGCAGTAGCAGCAGCAGCAGCAGCAGCAGAAGCAGCAGCAGAAACAGCAGCAGGAGGAAATGCAACATCTTAAGAGGCGAGCAGCGTGCGCTGGGGGCCTTCAGTTCGAGCCAGCCTTTAGGGTTTACGCCTAGGGTTTAGGGTTTAGGAGTTAGGGTTTAGGGTTTACAGGTCTGCACGGCTTCTCCCGCTGATCGCTGCTGCTGTCTCCTGAGTCGAGATGAAATGTCCAAGGCCCTGCTGCTGCTGCTGCTGCTGCTGCGCTTTCTGGCTGCTGAGAGGCCTCTTGGGGGCCCCCAGGAGGTGCTGCTGATGCCGCTGCTGTTGCTGTTGCTGCTCCTGCTGCTGCTGTGGGCGCTGCGTCTAAAGCCTCAGCTAGAGACGGTGCCGTCGTGTTGGTGCTGCTGCTGAGGCGTGTTGCAGTCTCCTCAGCAGCAGCAAGGCCAGCAGCAGCACTCTGCTGCTGCGCCTTCAAGCCCAGCTCATCCTGCTGCTGCTGCTGCTGCTGCTGCTGGTGAAGATCTGGCATTTGTTGCTGCTGCTGCGGCTGGCTATCTCCTGCAGCATCAAGCACGTCCCTGTTAGCGCCTCCTCCTCTTGCTGCTGCTGTTGCTGCTGCTGCTGCTGCTGTTTCGTGCTGCAGCGGAAACTTTGCTGCATAAAAGAAGTCGTTGGGGTCCTTAGAAACTACAGGGGGCCCCCGGGGCCTTCTCTTCTTGCGGCGCTGCCTGCAAGCCACTCGAAAAGCTGCTGCTGCTGCTGCTCTTCTTCGCCCTCTGTTGCTGCTGCTCCTCCTGCTGCTGCTGCTCCTCCTGCTGCTGCTGCTGCAGCTGCTGCTGCAGCGGCTTCTGTCGCTGGCAGCAGCAGGCCCGTCTGCATCTTGTAGCAGGTGCTGCTGCAGTAAAGAGCTGCTATTGGATGGAGAGCAGCAAACTGCTAGGGGGCCCCTGCTGCTGCTGCAAGTCAAAGAAGAGTATGAACCCTTAGGAGACAACACGCTGCAGCTGCTGTTGCTGCTGCTGCGTCGAGCCGAGCAAGATCCAGAGTCCTCGCATCCATCTTCGTGCTGCTGCTGCTGCTCCTCCTGCTGCTGCTGCTGCTGCGCCTGCTGCTGCGGCGGCGGCAGGCACGTCTGGGGAGCAGCAGGCCTCCAGCGGCCCATCGACCCTGGGGTGTTTGCTGCTGCAGCTGCAGCAGCTGCTGCTGCTGCTGCTGCTGCTTCTGCTGCTACTGCTGCGCGTACACAGCAGCGTCAGCCCGAGGCTAGCACCTGCTGCTGCTGCTGCTGTTGCTGCTGCTGTAGGACAGAAACCTGAGCACGGGTAACGCTTTGCTGCTTTGAGTGAAGCGAACCCAGACCAAAGACATCCTAAACCCTAAACCCTAAACCCTAAACCCTAAACCCTCATGCAGTCGGCGGCGAGCGGGCCTAAGGGCCCCCTAAGCAGCAGATACACCTGGGAGTTGTAAGTAATAAAGTAAAATAAATTTAAGCTATAACTATTTCTGCTGCTGCCTGATAATTCAAGAGGCACTGCTTCCGGCTACAGCCTCAGCAGCAGCTGCTGCAGCAGCTAAGGCAACAGCAGCAGCAACAGCAGCAGCAGCAGCATTAGCCGCCGCCTCCACTGCGTAATGAGGGCTGCTATCTCCGTTGCTGTAGATCCTTTGTCTTATTAGAAAACAACTTGTCTTACCTTTAAAAACTCTTATTCTATTTACTTTGTGTAGATGCTGCTGCTGCAGCAGCAGCAGCAGTGGCCGCCTGCCAAGATTAGAGGCCGGAGAGGCCTCGGCTGCAGCAGCAGCAGCAGCAGCAGCAAGTTTGCTGCTAAAGTTTGCAGTGCATGTCTTAGGGCTTCGTTCAAATTGATGTAATTGTTTTCGGCCTTAATATAATTCTGAGATGGGTAATAAACAAACAAAAATAAACAGCAGCAGCTAACGGCTGTATGAATTGCAAAGATCAGCAGCAGCAGCAGCAGCAGCAGCAACAGCTACCAGACCAGTCACTCTGCTGCTGCTGCTGCTGCTGCTGCCCTAGTGTCCTCAGCAGGTTTCGGCTGCTTGATGAAGATTTTTGTGTTATAAGCAGCAGAAAACGAGTATAAAAACATTAAAAATAAAGTATATATTTTTAAACAAAGACATAAAAGCTGCCTTTACCCTGCAGGTTTGCTGCGTGCAACTGCAGCAAAAGGCGTTGGGGTGTATAGGGAATGCAAAGCACAACAATTCTAGGAGATGAAAATAGAATAAAAATAAAGAAATAAGTTTAAAATAAATTATAAATTATAAATATAATTATATAAACGTAGATCAGGCGCTGTAATACAAACATTTAGCACTGCCTATGCATGTGCGGTGTATGCATTTATATAAATATATATTCTTCAGTAAGAATTAAAGAGAAAAGTAATTAAATAATATTAAGGTATTATAATATAATTTATTTATTTACTCTCGAAGATCTTCAGGCTTAATATTAATTACCTCTTAGCCAAACTTTCGGAGGAGACGCGAGGGCTTCCCCAACACAATATAATATTATTATTATAGATAATTTAATACATTAAATTAATATTACTATTATTAGTATTAATACTTAATAATAATAATAATAATGTATACAATGTATTAGTAGCATGGGGGCTACTACTAAAGGAGCTTCTTAATTGTTTATTTGTTGATTCTACACAGCATACATAATGCGTTAAGAGTTTTATCTGAAGCGTCTTTTATCCTTACACAAGACATGAATGCTCTCTCTATGTATCTACGCTGTAAATCCATCTGCATAGACACTCCTTAGACTTTACAACGTTCGCTCTCTAGGAGAGAAGGAAAGCCGACGCCCGCTATATATATATATATATATATATATATATATATATGTATATATATATACATATAGATATACATATTTATTTATTTATTTATTTGTTTATTCAAGGTGGGGGCTGGCAGAGCTACTGCCTATTCGTCGCTACGGAGAAGCGCAGTAATGTAATTCAAATGATAGCAGAGTTTAAGATAGAGAAGTCTTCAAAATGTGTAAATATAAAAATATATAATGAATCTAATGGTGCATTCACGTATGCCGACAATGAATTAAATTGTAGATTAACTAGCGTAGGAGGCGCAAGTTGGGGGCTATCAGAGTTGGGTGTGTTACAATGGGGTTGATGATGAAAGATAAAACAAATTCTTTCTTGAGATGCAGCAGGAGGGAGAAGAAAAGGTAGAAGACATGTGAAAAATAATTGGTATAGGAAGGCAGGTACTTAGAAAAGTATTTACCCCTCCACGCATATAATAGAGCAATAATCTTCAAACGCTTGCATGCGGGGCCTAAATATAAGCGTGAGTATGCATACCTTCTCTCGTAACTGCTGCATATGAAAGAAGAGGGGCCTTTAGATGTTGCTGGGAAACTGATCTGCATAAACGAATTAACATCCGAGAAGTCTTCCCTGTTTGTCGATCGCCTGGTTATTTAAATTAATATGCACTGTCGTTATCTACCTCTGCAATTGATTATGCATGCTTCTAGGGTCTCTTTCTCCTCCATTTGTCTCTTTTCACACCGGCATTGCTACTGTTTAAAGGACAGAGATCGAGGAGGGTTCAATGACTCCTTGAACTGTTTTAGGAACCCGGGACGAGGGTATGCGGGTATCTGCAGGTTGGGGGTAGGCCTCCAAAGTAATCGAGCGAGTTGAGCAGAGAACGAGCAGCAAAAGGTTCTCTCTACACACTGTCTAGAGCACTTCTTGTGCTTCTCGCCGTCCTGGGGTCTCCTGAGCGCATGCATGCATTTCCGCTAATAACTGAGTTCAAAGTGACTGAAAGATGTTTGTTCCCGTCTTCTTCATGCAGTTCTTGTGGCTTCCTCATACACTTGTACAATATGCTCTCCAGCTATGCATGCAACCCCTCAGCTGGAGGCGTAGGAATAGAGCTGGCTGTTAGCAGCACAGTCCAACGTCAGGTAATAAAAGGGTGTTCGGCTGTCCAGTTAATATTATTATTGCCTTCTTATTGTTTAAAATAAATCAGTGTACACTAGAGAAGCCAAGCGCATAGAATCGTAGGGCGTACGGTCGCATTATAACCCCCTTTTGTGCAAGGAAGGATATCAAGACAGTTTGACGAATATTGTTGGGTTTAGAGCAGGAAGTATTGCATTAGCATGCAGTTGGGGAGCTCAGTTTAGGTATCATCATTTAAGTGCTCCACAGTAGTTATATTATTGTAGAAAGTATGCAGCACCACAACTTCGCACCAGACGACGCTAAAAAAACTTAAATTTCCGTCAATGATGATGGCTGTTGGAGACCCGTGAACTTTCCCCGCAAAACTAATTAATAATTGCCCCCACCCCACATCATCTGTCTCCTTATTAGCATCGAACTGTCTCCAAATGCGCTGGTTGATAGTCAAACTTTGCCTTTTCTTTGCAGTTAACCCTCCTTTTGTTTGATTTCATCTTCAAGATGAGGAGTCATTTGTATCTTGGGATAAGGCGGGAGGCTGCACCAGGTGTGCGTTCGACTCCTGAATTGGGTTAAGAGATACTTCTTTTGTAGTACATCTAAGAACTGTTCGTTTCCTTTATATGCGCCTTCTTCTGTTATTCCTCGGCTTTCAACTGAATGGAGTCGCTTAAAATTGCTGTCTTCATGAAAATACTAGAACAGAGCGCAAGCCTTCATCTCTCGTTTCCTGCAGTTCCTCTGCACGGCTTTGGAGTCTCCTCTCATTCTTTTTTTGGGCGCTTGCCCACCCCTTTTTCTTAAGATGATTTGAATGATGTTGAAAGCCCTGGGAGGCGCACTCTGATATAGAGAGATATATAAATAGACATCGGCTTTAGGCTTTTAAAGGCTGCGTGCTCCCCTTCAGCCACGTGTTTGAACAAGTGAGATGACCCCTTTTCTGGAATGTATGGTTGTATTATCAAAGAGGCAGGGAGTTTAGATTCCTGCACGCTACTGGAGCATCATATGTTTTCTTATGTTTATTCCTTCATATTATTAAAGCTCTCTAGTTATTAGTAGTTACGCCTATCCTTTTACTGATCCTTTTACCCTTTACAGCATCAGGAAGATGCAGTTAAGGAGGCTGTGCCGTGATTGACAAATGAATTAACAGGTAGTTGTATCTCTTCGACTTAACCTTAGAAACAAGATTCATTTAGAGACATGAATGAAGGAAAGCTAGCAGGTTCTTCAAGAGCTTCCAAAGCAGCTTGCAAACCAGAGTTCTTTGACCTTGTTTTTATTGCGCAAGAAGCAAATGCGCCGCTCTGTATGTCCCTCCGGCCTCCACAGTGCAGGAGTCTCCTGCTGCTGACTGTTATAGCTGTTGGTGTAATGTTCATCAAGGACTTATACTTCTTGGCTCAGCATTCTATCGATATATTTCCCTTTTTAAATTCTTTTAATTCTAATAAAATATGTTTCCTTGTCGACCTGTAGATAAATCTGCACCGCACCGCATATCAGAACGCCTTCATAGACCCAGTGTGCTCCTGAGATGAAGAAGTTCTGCTTAGACGTAATCACAATATCTAAGCCTCCCTTTACAATAAAAAGATGCCGCTACCAATGGTAGAGCCTTTGTCTCATTTTAAAAAGAAAAGTACAACACCATTGAAGCCGAGGATTCCCCCAGGGTCCCCGCATCGGGACGCCCGTTATAATATTTTGTTAGTCAGCTGCAGCAGGCGCATTGTGCATGCATTTCTTTTTAGCAATATCATATCCTGCTGGATGAACACCGCGTGCTGCGCTCGCTTCAGTGCATCAATGCTCTCAACTGTTGGTAATCGCCCTGGTGTAGGGCATATCCTCATCAATCTCCTTTGCTCTGGAGGGAGAATGCCTACACCTTCAATATGCATATTATTAAGGAGAGGGCCTAAATATATTTTTCTTATTGCTAGACAAAGCGCCTTCATGACTATTCCTTGCTATCGAGAGGTTAAGCAACCCTTCTGTGGAGTTGGTGCTCGCAGCTGTCTCGCCTACCCCTCTTGAGCATGCAAGGCTACAAAACAAAAAGAAAGCCCCGGACCTTAGTTGAGGACAGTGATGAGGTGCAGCATAAAGGAAGGAGCCGAGATAATATAGAGCAGATAAACTCTCCTTCAGTCTCCAGCCGTTCTACGCAGAGCTAGCTGCCCAAGGGCCTAGGACTGGTGGGGAGAGGAGGTAGCTTGCTATGGGGTGCAGCACTTGTTGCTGTAACTTCTTCTGCAAGGTAATACTGCAAACAAGCATAATATTCAAGCCCCGCTCTGATGCATGCATGCATGCATCAACATTGTTAAGAACTGGTATACCTTTGCCTGCACTTAAGTGGAAGTACACAAGACAACTTCTTAACGACTATATTACAACACAAATATATAAAATAACATCTTCAGACAGAACAGGCTTCACCAACAACAACTACAAGACACAAACAAACGAGGCAAGGCAAGCGGTGGCCTTGATAGAGCAGCAGAGGCTTCGGGGGTCCTACGGGCCTCACCCAAGCAGGTATAAAGACGAATATAGTGTGGGGTTACGCTTCCCGTTGATGAGGTGTATGCACACCTCAGCTTTTGCTATAGGAGCAGCCTGTCGGCAGCTGTAGAGGAGGGCAGTGCTGTGAACTTCTCATTTGATTTATTCTAATCTACACAAAAAGAAAGACTTTGAGGTTTGATTGTTGTTGCATGCAGCTTGCATTCTTTTTCAGCTACAACGTGAGCTCCCCGCTGCTGCTGCTGCTGTTGTTGCTGCTGTTGCTGCTGTTGCTGCTGCTGCTGCTGCTGGTATTGTTTTCTCGGTTGAAGTTAGTATGCTTATTTTGGGCTGTGTTTGGAAGGGGATACACCCAGGCTGAACTCCTTCATTTTATTGCTGTCTCCTGATTAAGGGCCTCAGTGAGCGGAGGGAGCTTCAGCAGCAGCAACAGCAGCATCAGCATCAGCATCAGCAGCAGCAGCAGCAGCAGCAGCAGCAGCTGAACGTGTTGCGGGGGAGTTTAGAGTGAATAATTTAGAATGGTTTACATAATAAATGTAGTAATAATAAATAATTAAAAAGAAAGATAATATAATGTAGTAGTTGGGGGCTTATACCTTGGCTAGCAGCACGAGACAGCTGGGCCTGCTGCTGAGACCGCCTTTGTATATTCAGTGTTGCAGGCCTTGCTTTTCTTCATCTCTCTCCGTCTATATTTTATTAAAATAAAAATAATAAAAGATATTAAAAGGCTTTATTTCATTTTTATTATCTTTACTTCGATGTTCTTGTGCTAGACACAGCGATAAAAGGTCCTTCCTGCTGCTGCTGCTGTTGCTGCTGCTGCAGTTGCTGCTGCTGCTGCTGCTGCTGCTGCTGCTGCAGTCCTTCCATACAGACAGCAGCAGCAAATCGACAGAACAGGGCAGCCTAATTATTTGAATTTGTTATTTGTATATTCTTCTTTGTATATAACGAGAAATAATATTATAATTGCTTCTTCTTGCTGCATCTGTGATGCTGCATTTGTGCAGCTCAAGGACCTCAGCAGCGTCTCCATTGGTCTCCTGCGGCTACAAACCCTAAACCCTAAACCCTAAACCCTAAACCCTAAACCCTAGCAACAAGAGAAGCAACATCTTCTTTCATCTTTCTGGGCCCTTTGGGTGCCTTCTTGTTGAGGGTTTCACTCGCTGCAGCAGCTGCCCAGGCGAGATGGAGGCCCCTTCGCCTGTTGCTGCTGCTGCTGCGGAATCCTCAGAGAAAACGCTGGGCGTGCAGCCAGTCAAACCCCATGCTGCCTGCAGCTCGACTGAAGGGGTTCTTAGGGAGTTGCAGCAAACTCCGAGCAGCAACAGCAGCAACAGCAACAGCAGCAGCAGCAGCAGCAGCAGCTCTGCAACCCGTTTGGTTCCCCTTCCCCCCCGTGGATCTCCAGCCCCTCTGCCAGCAGCACTACTGCAGCGGGAGCAGCAGCTGCGTGCTTATATTTCTTCTTTAGGGTCTTCTGCTGCAGCAGCAGCAGCAACTCAAGAGGCATGGATAGACTTCTCACTACCTCCTCTCCCTCCTGCAGATACACCTGAATATATGAAGAGACACTCTAGAGCCGAAGCAGCACAAATATCAAAGACATCAGAAACGCAGCGTCGGCTTCTCTTAAGGGCCCCTTCAACCCCAGGGGCCTCAGGTGCCTTCCTTCGTACCCCCAGGGGCCCCCCTCTTAGAACAGCTCAAGGGGGGGGGGCCCCCTTAAGGACCCCTCGTGGGGGCCCCCCCCATCACAAGAGTGGGGGGGGGCCCCCCTTAAGGACCCCTCAGGGGAGCCCCTCAGGGAGCCCCGCTAGGGGCCCCACTAAGAGCCCCGGTAGGTGCCCCAGTAGGAGCCCTGCTAGGGGCCCTAGTAGGGGCCCCCCTGGGGCCCCACTGCTGCCTGGTGCTGTTTTTGTATCTCGTGCTACGCTGCTGCAGCGGTGCAGGGTTGAGGAAACAAATGTAAGAGATATAGAGGGTCGCACTGTGATGGTTCAGCAGCAACTCTGGCAGCAGATGCTGCAGTCTGCTGCTGAGCGTCAAGTGCTGCAGCACTGCTGCTGTGTGGGGGCCCCACAGACAGCTGAGTTTGTGAGGGGGACAGAGAAAAGAAGAATTCAAAATGCACTCCGAAGAATTAAAGAACACCTTGAGGTCAGACATATGTCAAACAAAAGATGCTGCTGCTGCTGCTGCTGTAACTGCTGCTGCTGCTGCTGCTGTAGCTGCTGCTACTGTAATGCTGCTGCTGCTGTAATGCTGCTGCTGCTCCTGCTGTAACTGCTGTTGTTGCTGCTGTAAATACAGTAGCAGCGGCAGCAGCAGGATCACCCGCCGAGTACGGGGAACTGAGAGAGCAGTAGCAGCAGGAAAAGAAAGAGCAATAGAAGCAGCAGCAGCAGCAGCAGCAGCACTAGCAGCCCCACGAGTAGCCTCAGCAACTGCAGCAGCAGCACCAGCAGCGGCACCGGCTGCAGCAGCAGCAGCAGCACCATCATCTGTCTCCTTTTTTTCTGTTTGTTTTTTTGTCTCTTTCTTCAGCGAGTGCTTCCTTCTCCTCTTGACCTTGGCTATGCATTTAATAAGCTGCACTCTGTCTCTTCTCCTAAACCATCAAATACATCTTCTTCGTCTCTTAACTCTCTACCCTCATCCACTACTCCGCAATTAGACAGGGGGGCCCCCTCAGCTGCCCCTCTCCCAAGTGAATGCGGGGCCCCCCAGGGGCCACCGCCCCACTGTGAAGGGGGAGCCCCCACGGGGGCCCCCAACGGGGCCCCTCCTCAGTCTAAGGGGGGGGCCCCCCAGGGGGCCCCTTCCCAATATGAAGAGGGGAGCCCCCAGGAGGCGGCCCCTGCTCAATCTAGAGGGGGGGGCCCCCAGGGGGCTTCGCCCCAATCTGAAGAAGGGGGTCCCCCGGGGGCCCCTCATCAATCTGAAAAGGGGGGGCCCCCTGGGGCCCCCTGTGTTGATATGGAAGGGGAGAGTTTGAGCCCGTTGGAGTTTGTGCGGTGTATGGACGCTCTGAGTTGGTGGCCCTGGGATTTAAATAATTTAGATAAGAAGGAGACAGCCTTTGCTTTATCTCTTGTCAGCCAAGTTGTAGGGGGCCCCCTCAAGGTGCAGCCGAAGCAAGAGAAAAATGATAATGCATTTAAATATATCAGTAAACGAGGGTTTATTGTCGCATTCGAATACCTCCCTTATAACCTTCCTGAATGGCCGGTAGGTTCCACCTCAGGGTTTAGGGTTTAGGGTTTAGGGTTTAGAGGGTTTGTTGCTTTATGCTGAGGCTTTTAAGGGCTCAGGGCATGGGCTTTTCTGGGCTCTAGACTTCAGCTTCAGGGTTTGGGGTTTAGGGTTTAGGGTTTAGGGTTTAGGGTTTTGTGTTCAGATAACCCTGGACAGACTTCCTGCTGCGAAGTCTGATGAAGATAAACTGTCTCTATCTTTTTCTTCTTCTGCAATGGAGTCTTTGGGGGCCCCTCTTGTTGTTAATCCTAGGCAGCCGGTGTCTCTGCAGCACGCCAACTTCCGCCCTCAAAGGGGCCCCAACAGCAGCAGCAGCAGCAACAGCAGCAGCAGCAACAGCAGCAGCAGCAGCAGCAGCAGCAACAGCAACAGCAGCAGCGAGGAGGTGGTGGCTTCTGCTGCAGTAGAAGAGGCCGTGCTGCTGTGCCAGGTGGCTTTGCTGCTCTGTCTCCTATTTGGTATTGATATATATAAAGACTTCCCTAACTTTAAAGTCCCCACTTCCTGCAGCAAACCCCGTGCTGCTGCTGCTGCTGCTGCTGCTGCTGGTAGCAGAGAGACAGCAGCAGCAGCACACACAAGCGCTGCTGCAGAGACGCAAGTCTCCGCTTCCTCTTCCCCCCTCCTCCAACCCGGGCAGATGCAGCCAACTGTCTACACCACCTATATCAAAATGCACTCTGGCAGCAGCAGCAGCAGCAGCAGCAACAGCAGCAGCAGCAGCAACAGCAGCAGCAGCAGCAGTAGTAGTAGTAGTAGTAGCGGTAGTGCCCGAGGCACAACTAGTGCCAGCAGAGCCCAATCTGAGTCCCGAGATAGCAGCTGTGATGACGGTAGCCCCCAGCAGCAGCAGCAGCAGCAGCAGCAACAAGAACAGCAGCAGCAGCAGCAGGGGTGCAGTGAAGAATCCGAGACCTGCGACTCCGTCGAAAACCGGAGGGCCCAAATCCCCAGCTGGCACTTGGCACAAGTAAGCACTCTCAGCAGCAGCAGCAACAGTAGCAGCAGCAGCAGCAGCAGCAATGTTTAGTATCCGTGCAGAGCTACGAGGGCCTTCAGCATCACTGTTAGAGGGCCCTGAGGTGGTATTGGGGTGTCTCTGCAGGGGCTGTCTGCTGACAATGCAGACTTTGGGGGTTGATTTGTATTTAAGGGTTTAGGGTTTATATCTGTGGTTTGTGGATTGTGGTATAGAGATTAGGGTTTAGGGTTTGTGGCTTAGGGTTTAGGGTTTAGGGTTTGTGGATTGTGGTATAGAGATTGGGGTTTGGGGTTTAGGGTTTAGGGTTTAGGGTTTGTGGTTTAGGGTTTGTGGTTTAGGGTTTAGGGTTTGTGGTTTGTGGTTTGTGGTTTAGGACTATTTGCTGAGCCGCGTGGTGTTTGCTGAGGAGCTGCAGGCTGCCTTACCTGCTTTGATTTCTATTGAGTGGGTATTGAAAGGAATATATTTATTAGTAGGTGCTTCGACAGCAGCTCTATCTCCGTTAGAGTGGCTGCTGCTGCTGCGGCCTGCTGCTGCTGCTGCTGCACACTCTGTCGATATTGCTGCTCTTACTCAGCGGTATTCTTCACAAAACCCTAAACCCGTGCCTCTAAAGGCTTCGCCTGCTGTGCTGCATGCACTGCGCAAGCTGCAGAAGCAGCAGCAGCAGCATCAGCAGCAGCAAAGGCAGCAGCTGCTGCAGCAGCAGCAGCTACAAGAGCTGCAAGAGCCCTGGAGGGCCTCCTGTACATCTAGCCGTATGGGTATTCGATGGCTGTCGTATACATCAGTACAGAAACAAAGCAAAAAGAAACAGCAGCAGCAGAAACAGCAGCAGCTGCAGCAGCAACAGCAGCAGCGGGCAGCAGCAACAGCAGCCAGCAAGTTCCTTGACTTCGGGTGTACAGACAGCCAGCTGCAACAGTGGGTCCTGCAGCAAACAGCGCAGCATATCCTCTCAACAGCAGACAGCGAGAAAACAGCAAGTGCTCTCTCACGCCTGTTTGCTGCTTGCGCTCCTGGCTGCAGCAGCAGCAGCAGCGGCAGCAAAAGCAACAAACCTGGGGCTGCTGCTGCTGCTGCTGCTGCTGGGGAGACTATGTCTCTGGATATTGTGGTGCTGCAGTTCTGCTCGGAGGCCTTTTACAATATATTTCTTCATGCAGATATATTTAAAAATATTCACGAACATATTTAGCTGCTGCTGCAGCAGCAACAGCAGCAAATTGGCTGCAGCACGCTGCAGCAACAAAACCCTGCTGCAGCAGCACGCGGAACTCTATTGTCTCCTTTTGTATACAGCAGCAGCAACTGCCTCCTTGTCTCGCCTCGCTGTCTCTTTGCTGCTGCTGCTGTCTCTACTGCTGCTGCCTCTTCTGCTGCTACTGTTGCTCTTCTTCTGCTGCTTCTGAATCGGCTTGCTGCAGCTGGAGGGATAGCCACTAATATACGTCGCCTACGCAAGGCGTTATGCTGCTTCTGCTGCTACTTCTGCTGCTGCTTCTGCTGCTGCTGCTACTGCTACGGTAGGGATGGCGCACCCTAAGTCGCTGTACATCAGCTGCAGCAGTTGCAGCAGCAGCAGCTGCTACTGCTGCTGCTGGAGCAGAGGCATTCTCTTAGGGTGTCTCTATTGCTGTCTCAACCTTAGCAGGAGACAATTAATGAATTTGTGCTACAAACAGAAAAACCCCCCAGAGGACCCGCGGCTAGCAAAAGATGCAGCAGCAGCTGAAGCTGCCGCTGCAGCAGCAGCAGCAGCAACAGCAGCACCAGCAGCAGCAGACTGTAGAGGCCTTGCAGAGGCTGCTGCAGTCTTTAAAGCTGCCAATATAATTAAAGAGACAAGGAGAAAAGATATACAAAGCAGGAGACACCGCATCAGAAATAATGCATGCATAGAAGTAGCAGTGCACGCAACTCTAATGCTGCTGCTGCAGTTGTTGCTACTGTTGCTGCTGCTGTTGCTGTATGCTGTGTGCTGCATGCGGCTTCTGCAACACGCCCCGAAATCCGGGGCAGCAGCAGCACTTGCTGCTGCTGGTGCAGCTGTTGCTGCTGCTGCTGCTACTACTGAAGGTGAGGGTAATCTTGCTGCTGCTGTTGCTGCCGTCGCTGCCTCTCCCGCCTGTGCTGTTGCCGCCTGGGGCGCTTCGGCATCAACGGCACCCGAGACCCATGCAGATCCTGAAGCAGCAGCAGCAGCAGCAGCAGCAGCAGCAGTAACAGCAGCAACAGCAGCAGCAGCAGCAGCAGTAGCAGCAGCAGAGCTTCAATGGTCAGGGGTGCGAGGGGTTAGAGCAAGGGGAGGCTTCTTACTGGGTCTTGAGGCTTTCCTGGCTTGTGTTTGTTCGCTTCTGCTGCTTCTGCTGTTTCTGCTGGTTGTGCTGCTGCTGCTGCTGCTGATTCCGCTGCCGCTGCTGCTGCTGGTTCTGCTGCTGTAGCTGTTGCTTGTTCTGGAGCTGGTTCTGCTGCTGTATGAATATCATATCCTTGTGTCTGTGTATCTGCTGCAGCATCATGCTGCACATATTGTGTATTTTGTGCGGTAGGAGAAGGTTGAGCTTGCTGTTCTTTTTCCTGCTGCTGCTGCTGCTGCTGCTGCTGCTGCTGCTGCGCATGCTTGTCGTGAGACTCTTGTATACACTGCATCATCCGACCATAGAATTCGTGCTGCAGCTCGTGCTCAAAGCGAGAAGGAGTAAGCGGGCGGCTAATTGGAGACTCTATTGAAGAAGGTAGGCTCGGTGTAGGGGAGAAGGTGCTGCCAATCCCTCTATCAGTTATAATAGGGCCTAGCTCCTCCTCATCTTGCTGCTGCTGCTGCTGCTGCTGCCGACGACGCCGTTGCTGCTGCTGCTGCTGCTGATGCTGCTGCTGATGCTGCTGCTGCTGATGGGAGGCAGCAGGGAAGTTTGAACGACGTAATGAACGAATCCGCGCTGCATGCAGCTGTGGCGCATTTCTTGCTTCGTGCGGCCTCCAAGGCCGCTGCTGCTGCTGCTGCTGCTGCTTGCGTTTCTGTTCATGCATTTCTTCTTGATGAGACAGCCGAGCTAACTCATTAAAGGAGTCGAAGGCAACTGACCAAGAAGGAGTATCAGGCGCAGGCCAGTCATGCTGCTGCTGCTGCTGCTGCTGCTGCTGCTGCTCATCTGGATGCTGGGATCTCCGGTGCTGATGCCAAGCGCCGTGGTGTAGGCGGGTGTTCCCGTGCTGCTGCTGCTGCTGCTGCTGCTGCTGCAGCCAAGGCTTAGGTGTAGGGGGGCCTCTCCTTTGAGGGACCTGCCAGATGCTCTCCACCTCTATAACTATTTCGCGCTGCTCCCACTCCGGCTGCTGCTGCTGCTGCTGCTGCTGAAATGCATGAGTGCGTGAGCGCAACGGTTGCTGCTGCTGCTGCTGCTGCTGCGGGGGAGGAGGGGGAGGAGGAGGAGGCAGGTGCTGCTGCGCCCAGTCGTGTTGACCTTGCTGCCTTTGCTGCCAGATTCGCTCGTGCTGCTGCAGCAGCCGCTGTCGCTGCTCATCGAGCGCATGCTGCTGTTGCCGAAGCCTTGCTTGCTGCTGCAGACTGGGAGGGCGAAAGTGCTGCTGCTGCTGCTGCTGCTGGGAAGGGTACCTAACATGTTCTGAATACGAGTGGCTTGTCACCGTCTCTTGAGGGGGCTGCAGCAAACCTGAGCAGCAAAATATACGAAAGCAGAGAGGAGTTGGGGTGTACGTACACTGTGCAGCAGCAGCAGAAGCAGCAGCAGCAGCAGCAGCAAAGCAAAAGGATACAGAAAACAGCAGACAATCCCTCGTGCATACAAAGAAATACAAGAGCAACACCGCTACAACCATTACTAAGAACTCCTACTACTGCTGCTACTGCCGCTGCTACTGTTGCTGCTGTTGCTAGTGCTGCTGCTGCAGCAGCTGCTGCTGTTGCTGCTGCACTTACGGTCTGGCAGAGTCTGCTGCAGCGTGAGGGAGACGGTGCGCACAGTTTGATGAACGCTGAGCGGGGGCCTCCGAAAGAGAGGTAGCTCAGGTCTGTTGCTGCTGGGGGTAGTTGAGGCCCCCCAACTCCTCTCCCCCGCATGTAAATTGTGTCCGCTGGGCCGCATATTGGGGTGTACATGCACCTAAAAAGAAGAAGAGTTATTGCGGTGTATACACACCTGAAAGAAGAAGGGAGAGAGATGTAGTAGAAGCCACAGGACACGCGGCAGCTCTGTGGGGAGACGGACACACGCAGCAGATGCTGCAGCAGCAGCAGCAACAACAACAAGGACTGCAGTAACCTCAAGAACAAACAAACAAGCACCAGCAGCAGCAGCAGCAGCAACACGGCGCAGCAGCAGCAAACCGCTATCTGGGGTTAGAGATCTACTATAATCTATAGAGAGCAATGAAAAGGAAATTGTGTGTGGCAGCGTATGCCGGTCTTCTACTTTTAAAACAAATAAAATTAAAATAAAATAGGCAATTAAACAGAAAGTTAAACTTATAAAAACTTAGATAAAGACAGCACAACAGAGGCGCCAACCACAGGTGGAGGTCACCTGGGGGCGGGGTATACGCGGGCAAAGTGTATGCAGAGGTTTGTTTGTTGCATTTTGCCGCAGTTTTTGACTATTTAAATTATATTTTAATTATTTGTGAATACTTATTTCGTTTTTATACCTTTAAAACCTCTTTCAGCGGTGTTTTAAACCCAAATTTCTCTCCTAAACCGCACCCGGGTGATACTACCACCTACACCCACCAGCGCAACGCCGTGTGTTCTGCTCTCTCTTCTTTTTTTGCTGTTTTGTTTGTTTTAAAAGTTTATAATAATATATCGGCAAAGCCACAACATTTAATTAATTGTATTTGATGCCTTCAAACCCACAAAGAGAGCGGAAGACACAGCAGCAGAGTCTACGCTGACCAGTGGTGCGACACCACACCAACAACAACTAGCGCTGTCCTGCAATAAATAAATAAACATATATATATATTAATATATATATATTTATATTTAAATTGTATTAACAAGTATATATTATATAATATTATATTTCAGGAACAAGTAAGTAATAATATTGCATACTTCACTTGCATATATTCATGCATTTTTAATTTCTCTGTGACACCTTACCTTTTAAGTAATAAATAAAAACAAATAACAAATATAAATATATAATTTTATTTATTTATCTTGATAATATTATACATCTAAGTATTATTTTTTCATCAGCCAGACGGCTGTTAATGGGACATCAATCAGCAACAGAGGCATACAGCTACGTATACCTCTGGCTTAGACAGCTAGCTAGCCAGCTAGCTAGATAGTCATTCAGTTAAGGGGGATGAAGGGTAGCCCGCTGGCTAGAGACGACCTCATTCATATCAGCTAGCTAGCTAGCTGGCTAGCTAGCTAGCTACGCCTATGCTGTACTTCTTCGCTCAGTTAATATCTGCTAGCTGTCTGCTTCTACAGAGACGAGACACCTTCAAGATCTCCTGTTGCAGCTCCTGCTGCAGCAGCTGCCGCAGCAGCTTGCTGCAGCAGCAGGAAAGATGCTCACATATACATACACAAAGAAATACCAGCAACGAAAAGGTCTCTTGCTGCAGCTGCTGCAGCAACCACAGGGGCTCTTGCTGTTGTTGCTGCTGCTGCTCATCTAAACCCTTTCCCTCAACTGAAAGCACAAACAAAGGAGGTGGGCACGTGCAGCAGCAGCAGCAGCAGCAGGAAGAGCAGCGAGCTTATTTCTGTTGGGCGGCTAGCTCAACGGCTCTCGCCGCAGCAGCATCGAGGTCGCTAACAGCCTCAAGGTGCAGCTGCTGCTGCCCTGATGCAGCAGCAGTTTTAAAAGCATCTGCTAGAAGTGTCTCCGCCTGTTCTTTGTTTGTACCCTCCAGCCGAACCTGCAGCAGCAAAAGGAGACAGACAAAGACAGCAGGTAGTCAGAGAAGAGACAACAAACAACAAAGCAGCAACGGAGGAGACAGACAGACGCCTCATTAAACAAACAAACACTAATGTAAATATTATATATATTTTATATATTATATATAATGTATAATATATATATATATACATATATTATATATATGAGGCAAAAAGAAACAGAGAGAGGGAGTGTAAATAAGAGACACAAAAATATGAAAGTCCAAGGAGCACACGCAGCAGCAGCAACAGCAGGACATGAAGCAGCAGCAGCAGCAGCAGCAAAAGAAGCAACAGCAGCAGCAGCACAGCAACAGCATCATCAACAACAGCAACCAACACGCAAGCACACAACACATAAAAACAAAAAAAAGCAAATAAACAAAATCAAAGAGCAAACAGCAACAACAGCAGCAGCAGCAGCAACAACAACAACAGCAGCAGCAGCAGCAGATGCATAGATGGAGGGCTTACAACAAGGGGCTTAGTGATATGAACAGTTTTAGCAGCTTCAATAAGCCCCTTTGCAATTAGATCGCACTTCATAATACCTCCGAAGATATTAATAAAGATAGCTTTAACTTGCGTATCTGTTTGAAGAAGATGCAGCGCTTGAGTAATCTGCTGCTGCTGCGCTGCTCCGCCTACATCTAAAAAGTTCGCAGGATTACCTCCTTTTAATGTTAATAGATCCATCGTAGCCATCGCTAAGCCTGCACCATTAACTAAACACCCTATATCTCCTTTTAATTTAATATAATTAAGCCCGTGTTGCTCTGCAACGATTTCTTGAGGATCCTCTTGAGATATATCACGGTGTCTGTACACCTCAGATTGCCGATATTGAGCGCTATCATCAATTTGAAGTTTAATATCTGCTATTTTTAATATACCTTCATCAATAAACATTAAAGGGTTTATCTCTAATAATAAACAATCTTTAGTTTTAAATGCAGCATATAAACTCTTCAGCATCTTCAACGCTTCTTCTTTATTTTGTGCATATGATATTTTTAATGCATTACACACTCTCTCTGCTATTCCTTCATCTATACCTAAATAAACAAAAACAAACAATTTATTTATTTATTTATTTATTTATTTATTTATTTATTTATTTATTTTATTTTATCTTTTTTGTTTATTTGCTCGGCGTTTTAATTATATATTTATATTAAATAATTTTTATTTGCATCTTTTTAATTTATAAACAACAGAGCGAAACAAACAAACAAACAAACAAACAAACAAACAAACAAACAAACAAACAAACAAACAAACAAGAAGAGATTTATTCTTATTAATTATTTTATTTACTTTAATTATTTTATTTATTTTAATTATTTTAATTATTTTACTTATTTTCTACTTCATTTATTTATTTATTTACTCAACCAATATACAGACAAATGAATAAACAAACACAAATAAACAAATGAGCAAATAAACAAACAAACATTATATATGACGAGGGAGATAGTTAGAAAGGAGACAGTTAAAAAGGAGACAGCTAGAAACAGAAAAGGAGACAGTTAAAAAGGAGACAGCTAGAAACAGGAAAGGAGACAGTTAAAAAAGAGGTAGTTAGATGAGAGACAGTAAGAGAGGAGGCTGTTCGAAAGGAGACAGTAAGAAAGAAGTCAGATATAAAGGAGAGGGGAGACAGTTAAAAAAGAGACAGTTAAAAAGGAGACAATCATCAAGCAGACAGGAGACAGCAGTAAGGAGGAGACAGCAGCAAGGTAGAGACAGCAGCAAGGTAGAGACAGCAGCAAGGTAGAGACAGAAGCAAGGTAGAGACAGCAGCAAGAAGGAGACAGCAGCAAGAAGGAGACAGCAGGAGACAGGGTTTATTTGCTGCACCCTTTTCTGCATCAATAGGAATCTTCACAATGGAGTCAGGCTGCGACTTCGCGATGTCTTCGATGCTCGTACCCCCGTGAGCACTGCACACAAACCCTAAACCCTAAACCCTAAACCCTAAACCCTAAACCCTAAAACCCTAAACCCCTAAACCATAAACCCCTAACCCTAAACCCTAAACCATAAACCGTTAATCTGAAAGGATACACCCTAAACCCTCAACCATAGACATTAAACCCTAAACCCTAAACCCTAAGCCTTAAACCCTTAGCCCTTAACGGTACAGCCGAAGCCCTAGAACCTCAAACCCTCAACCCTTAACCCTTAAACCCTAAACCCTGAACGCTTGCCCCCCAAACCCTAAACTCTAACCTTAGACAGTAAACCCTAGACCAGAACCCCCATCCCCTGAACCCTAAACCCTAAACCCTAAACCCTAGAATAAGCACCTGAGTACAAGGAGGGGTCCTCCGGTTTCTCTGTCAAGGAGTAGAGCCAGGTAAAACTCTTTTTTAGGTTGAAGTCTCTCACAAATGAGAACGACAGAACATCTCCTTCCTTGATCTCCAGTTTGTTTAGTTATTAGTGTATTCCCTAGCATATTTTTAGCTGCTTCTCTCACTTCTTCTGCTGTGCTGCAGCAATGAACGCCTCCTTTATAGCCATTCTCCTTGAAATACCCTAATCCCCTGCCTCCTGCTAACACCTGGGCCTTCACAACAACCCCTTTACTTCCTTTCTGCTGCTGCTGCTGCTGCTGCTGCTGCATTTGTACAGCAGCTGTGTAAGCCTCTTCGGGTGTGTGTGCAGCGCTAAACATAGGCATAGGGACATTGAACTCGCGAAGCAATTGAAGAGCCTGATATTCATGAAGAGACAGGTGCCGCTGCTGCTGCAGTTGCTGCTGCTGCTGCTGCTGCAGCAACCCCCCTGCTCCAGCAGCACGCCAGCAAAGGGGGGAGGCAGGCCGCAGCTGCAGCGGCCCCCTGCTACCTCCTAGGCGTAGAAGTGTGTTCATTTGAGCAATAAACAACAATAATAAATTTAAAAAGAAATAAGAAATAAACAATAAAAGAAGAAGACGCAAAAAAACCCTCAACCGCCAGTGCAGCAGCTGCTCGCAGCTAGCTGGGGTTTCTTTGATGAGAGTAGACAGCAGAGTTTAGCGTTTCCTTCTTAATTTAATTTGTAAATAAATAAATAAAATAATATCTTTTAATTGCTGTTTATACATTGCAGTTAGGGAATGCATGCAGCCAAGCCCCAAGTGATAGCGAGCAGCTCTCGTTGCTGCTGCTGTTGCTGCTGTTGCTGCTGTTGCTGCTGCTGCTGCTGCTGTTGTTGTTTTTTTCACTGTCTGGGGTGTCTCCTCAGGTGTCTCCTTGAGGTCCCTATACACTGCAAGCAGCAGCAGCTCCTATTTACACTCCAACTGCCGTAGCATATAGAGGGAGACAGTTTCTATAGAAAAGACAAGAGAGACAGACAGTTGAAGAGCGCTTTACTGTCTCCTTTTAAGTGTTATACCCTCCTTATTATACGCTGAGGTGTACACACACCCCAAACCCTAGACCCTAAACCCTAAACCCTAAACCCTAAACCCTAAACCCTAAGGGAGTTGTTTTTGGGCTTTTGTTGGTTTTAAGAAATGGTTTAATAGACAACAGAAAAAATGTCAGAGGCAAAATACTTAAAAAGTTAATTAGAGTTTTTTGCTTCAAGCCCTCTGTTGCAGTGTCTCGACAGATTATAAAGGCCTTATATATATATATATATATATATATATATATATATATATATATATATATATATAACACGCATATTAGTATCTGCTCTGGTTTGTCTGTCTTCACTCTTTTATCTTTATCTGTATTTAGTAATTAGTGCATCTGTCTCCTCTTTCATCCTCTTCTTTGCTTCGCTTTGTCTGTCAGTCTCTGTCTCTCTCTCTCTTTGTCTCTCAGTCGCTCTCTGTCTCCTTTCATTTCTCTGTCTCTCTCTGTCTCTCTTGCTGTCTGCATAGATGCCTCTGTCTCCTTTTGCTGCTCGCTGTCTCTGTTTCTCTCTGTCACAACAGCAGCACAGCGAGCTGTGGGCATAGGCCTTCGACAAGCAGCAGCAGGAGCAACAACAACGATAGCAGCAGCAGCAGCACAGCGACCCGTGGAGGCATATATACAGAGACACTGCACAGATACACCGTAGACAGACGCTGCAACAGCAGCAGCACAACAGCAGCACAGCGAGCTGTGGGAAGCAGCAGCAGCAGCAGCAGCAGCAGCGGTAGCAGCAGCGGCTCTGCTGCTTCCCCAATCGTTGTGTCTTGTCCCCTAAGTTACTTTTAATAGCATAACGCTCTGCTGATGAAGGTTCTCTGCTGCTACTGTTGCTGCTGCTGCTGTTGCTGCTGCTGCTTGCTAAAGGCCTTCCCCCAGGGCTGGCTATGCTGCTGTTGTGCTGCTGCTGTTGCAGCGTCTGTCTACCGGTGTATCTGAGCAGTGTCTCTGTATATATGCAGCTCTTTAAAGTATCTCCTTAGGTGTCTCCTTACGTGTCTCCTAAAGGTATAATAAGTTCAGGGCCTTCATTGGGGCAATTAAAAAAATAAAACAAGAAGAGACAATACTACTTTAAGCTGCTTCCAGGTGTCTCCTTGCGGGGTCTCGCTGCTGTCTCTTTGTCTAAAGGGTCTCTTAATATTCATGTTGCTGCTGCTGTCTTCATCAGGTGTTGCTTGCACTTGTCAGGTGTATGTCTCTCCCCAGGTGTCTCTCCTCAGGTGTCTTCTCAGGTGTCTTCTCAGGTGTCTCCTTACAGCCTCTCTCTAACGGGTCTCTTGGTTGTGTTGTTTGTTTTTACTCTAGCGTGGAGACACCTGCAAAGAGACTCTTCCCTTGCCTGTCTCCTTAGGTGTATAGGCAGCTGCCTCAAAGGCTGACGCGTGCTGCTGCTTGTGCTGCTTGGAGACAGACAAACAACAAAAACAAACAGAGACAGTAGAGACAACCAGAGACAAACAAAGGTAGTGAAGACAGAGACAACAGAGACAAGCACAGGTTATAGAAGCAGCAAGCCCCGGACTCTACACACTTCTCTGTCTCCTTAACGCCTACAAGGAGCATGTAGGAGACACTTCTTTGTCTCTTTGAGGCCTACAACAGACCCAAAGGAGACACCTCTCTGTCTCCATCATACCTATAAGAGATCTTAAAGAGACACCCTCCCTGTCTCCCTGACGTAAGGCCTACTGCACGCTCTTATGAGGCTAAAGGAGACACCTGTCTGTCTCCTTAGGGCCTCTAACAGCCCTTAAGGAGACACCTCTCTCTGTCCCTTGTCCCTATTGCATGCAGTAAGGAGGCAGAGGCTGAATAAGAGGTATTTGTGTCTCTTTAAGACCTTTTATTGTTCTGTCACTTGAGGAGACATCCCGCAGCGAAGGGGTTAAATGCATTATTAATGCTGGGGGCAACACAACATATATAGAGAAGCGAAACGGAGAAAAAGAGCGAAAATGCAGACACTAAAGGTTTTAATTCAGGTGTATAGAGACAATAAAGCTATACACAGCCATTGTATTAAGTGTATAGAGACAGTAAAGGGTTTATATTAGGTGTACGGGGACAGAAAGGGTCTTATATTAGGTGAATAGAGACAGTAAAGGCCTTAAATTAGGTTTATAGAGACGGTAAAGGCCTTATATTAATGTAAGGAGACAGCCAATGCCTCGTGCATAGAGAGACAGTAAAGATCCTATACTAGGAGTATAGAGGCAGTACAGGTCATTAGTTGTACGGAGTCAGTAAGGGGTGTATATGAGGTGTATAGAGACAGTCAAAGCCCTATATTAGGTGTATAGAGACAGTGAAAGCCTTATATTAGTTGGACGGAGACAGTAAAAAGTTTATATTAGATGAAGATACAGTAAATTCCCTATGTTATGTGTATCAATACACCTAATTTAAGGTCTTACATTAGGCGTATAGCTACAGTAAAGACTTTATATGAGGTGTATGGAGACAGCCAAGCCCTTATATGAGGTGTATAGAGAGAGTAAAGGCCTTATATGAGGTGTATGGGGACTGTGAAGGGGGTATATTAGTTGAATAGAGACAGTAAGAACCTCAAATAAATGCAGTTGCTTTAAATATACCTTTTAATGCAGGTGAATGTACAGCCGGTGATAAGAGCTTCGTTGGGGGCCTGCTGTCATAGAAGACAGGAAATCAACATGTCGGCGAAGGCCTCTTCGTCTGTCTTTTTTGTCTTTTATAGCTTTAAATTAAGTAAATATTTATTGAAAATAATATAATAAAGTTAAAAAAAATAAATAATGCACAAAGACCTACAGAAAATTTTAAAGAGGTAGCTGCTGCTGCGCCCGCAGCAACAGCGCTCAGGTGTACAGACACCGGACCAATGGTGAGCGCTGGGGCATGTCTGTTTTTTTTATATTTTTTCTTTTAAATTGCATTGAGTGCTTTTAAAAGAAAAAAATATACACAAATGATTACTTTTCTTGCTGCAGCTCGGCGCAGCAGCAGCAGAGTTGGATATACAGCGCAGGGAATCGAGCTGGGATCGTGGTCTCCCCGCTTCCCTGTCTTCTCCCCACAGTCAGCTGCAGCTATACAAGAAATATTTAAACTTTCATCATAAAGGGAGGCACTTCAATACTGCAAATACCCTTAAGACCGTCAGGCCTTATGCACACACACTGGGGATTGAAGCGATCAGCCAGCAGCAGAAGCAGCAGCAGCAACAGCAGCAGCAGCAACACCAACAGCAGCTGCAGAAGCAGCAGCAGCACCATCAGTACAGTCACAGTAGTAGCACAGTAGCAGCAGCAGTAGCACAGCAGCAGAAGAACAGCAGCAGCAAGACGGGAGCAGGACCGCAACAACAGTAGCAGCAGAAGCACATTAGCAGCTGCAGTACGACGCCAGGAGGAGATCATCATCAGCAGCAGCATTACAGCAGCAGCAGCAGCAACAGGCTAAGGTGTACGTACATAAGAGACGCACGGGAGTGTCTCCTTTGTACATACACCGCGGGATCTGTCTCCCAGTCTCTTAGACTTTGATATATACCTTCTTTTTTTTTGTCGTTGTTTATATTTGGGATTTATTTTGTTATTTATTTTTCTACAGAGACATTCGGGTGTCTCAACCTCGTTTGTATCTGAATTATAATACACCTTTACACAATGGGGTGTATGTACAGCTGGTGGGTTGTACTGCTAGCAGCTCTTTTTGCTGCTTTAGCACCATCTTCGTCTTCTTCATTTCCTGCCCCTGGCTTACACGCCCCCTCTCTTCCGCCTGGTGGGGCCTCTCAAAATACTGAGGAGAGCAGCAGCCACAACAGGGGTCTACCTTTCCCGAAGACGAGGAGGAGGCTGAAGAAGGGGTTGAAGAGTGCTGCCGACAAAGCAAAGAGGAAAGCACAGAAATTTGCTGGGTTTAGGGGCAGCCTAAGCCCAGGAGGTGTAGATCTAGAAGAAGAGACACCTGAATCTTTGACAGCTGAATTATTGAGTGCGCAGTTTTATCTTCCTAGTGAGCCTTCTGAGCAGCGCCGGCGAAAAGTAAATGAAGACAGCAGCAGCAGCGGCGGCAGCATGAAGAAGAAGAAGAAGAAGAAGAGTAAGAAGAAACGCAAACTCATCAGTACGAAGATCAAGGGAAACCCTACAGACTGGATTAAGAAGAGAAGGAGGAGCAGCAAGAAAAGACAAAGCTCTTTGCTGCCTCCTGGTGTGTCCCAGGGACCCGATCCCGACTTCCCTCCTCCTCCTCCGCCCCTACCTTCTGAAGAAGTAGGGGACTCGGAGATAAACAATGGATACGACGGCAGCAACCTCCCGCCTCCACCGCCGCCTCCTCCTCCGCCAGAAGCAGAAGCAGCAGCAGGAGCAGAAGGAGGCTGGGTACCCCCTCCTCCTCCTCCTTTTATAGGAGGAGGTGGAGATCATAATAAGCATGCTCACTCTTCTTCTTCTTCTTCTTCTTCTTCTTCTTCTTCATCGCCTTCTTCATCGCCTTCTTCTTCTCCTTCTCGAAGAAGACAAGCACCATCTCCACACCCGCATGCAAGCCCCAATCAAGAGCCAGGTAAGAAGGCCTTAACACCCCCTCTTCCTTCTTCTTCGCCTTCTAGAAGAAGCAGCAACAGCAGCAACAGCAGCGGCAGCAGCGCAGCAGGGCCACCACCACCACCACCACCTCCTCCTCCTCCTCCTCCTCCTCCTCTTCCTAGCAGCAGCAGAAGCAGGAGCAGCAGCAGCAGCAGCAGCGGAAGCGAAGGAGGAGCAGCCAGGACTCCTTCTCCTCCTCCTCCTCCTCCTCCTCTTCCTAGCAGCAGCAGAAGCAGGAGCAGCAGCAGCAGCAGCAGCGGAAGCGAAGGAGGAGCAGCCAAGACTCCTTCTCCTCCTCCACCTCCACCTCCTCTGCCTAGCAGCAGCAGAAGCAGGAGCAGCAGCAGCAGCAGCAGCGGAAGCGAAGGAGGAGCACCCAGGACTCCTTCTCCTCCTCCTCCGCCTCCTCCTCTTCCTAGCAGCGGCAGAAGCAGGAGCAGCAGCAGCAGCAGCAGCGGAAGCGAAGGAGGAGCAGCCAAGACTCCTCCTCCTCCTCCACCTCCTCTGCCTAGCGGCAGCGAAGGAGCAGCAGGCTTCCCTCCTCCTCCTCCTCCTCCTCGGCCTCCTAGCAGCAGGAGCAGCAGCAGCAGCAGCAGCAGCGAAGGAGCAGCAGATTTCCCTCTTCCTCCTCCTCCTCGGCCTCCAAGCAGCAGCAGCAGAGAAAGCGGCGGTCAGACACCGACGTTCCCACCTCCTCCTTCTCCTCCTGGAAGCATGAGGAGCAGGAGCAGCAGCAGCAGCAGCAACAGCAGCAACAGCAGCAGCAACAGCAGCAGAAGCAGCACAGGAGCAACTGGGAGTTGGTCGCCCCCTCATCCTCACTCTCCTTCTGCTCCGCATACACCAGAAGAAGGCGGTTCTTCACCAACGACGCCAACTGAAAAGGAGACAGAAGGAAAGGAGGAGACACATGAGGAGACACATGGAGGCGGGGCTGCAGGAGGGCTTTCACCTACTATGTTGCTAACAGCTAGAGACAGGCTAAGACGTGCGGATGGTAGCGATCCAACGCAAGCAACTTCTAAAGGAAGCCCAGGGCCTTCAAGACCGCCTTCACGTATGTTTATCTTTTGCTGCTTCTGTCTCCTTCTCACATCCTCTTTCATTATCTGTCTCCTTCTTGCTGCTATTGCTATGCATCTGATGCAGTGTCTCCTCCTTGCTGATCTACTTGCAACGATGCTGCAACCTGCTGCATGTCTGATGCTCTTCACCACCTTGCTTCTCTTCTTCTTTTTGCTGTTTGTCTTGGTGTATCTCTTCTTCTGACTTTACTCCATTTGAAGCAGCTCTCTCTGTCTCCTTACGCATCTCTCTCTCTGTCTCTCTCTCCCTCTCATTGCCTCTCTTTATCTCTCTCCTGTACTGTCTCCCTCTCTCTCTCTCTTGCTTCTGTTTGCTGCAGTGCTGCTAGCTGTCTCTATCTATCTATCTATCTATCTATCTATCTATCTATCTATCTATATCTGTCTATCTATCTATCTATATCTGTCTATCTATCTATCTATATATATATATATATCTATACATATATATATATATATATATATCTGTCTCTATCTGTCTCTTTGCCCACCTCTACCTCCTTGCTTGTGTCTCTTTATCTGCTGCAGCAGCGCATGCCTCTTTTGTACTGTCTCCTTTTCTGTTGCAGCAGCTTCTATGTGCTGCAACCGCTTCTATGTGTTGTAGCAGCTTGCATGTGGTGCAGCAGCTTCAATGTGCTGCAGCAGCTTCTTCTATCTGCAGCAGCTTCTTCTATGTGCAGCAGCAGCAGCAGCAGCATGTGTCTCCTTTTAATGTGTCTCCTTCTCTGCTGCAGCTTCATCTCCCCATGCCGATCTCTTAGGGGCGGTCGGGGATCGCATGAAGGCCCGCCGCTCAGCCATTGGAGGAGACACCTCTGACTCAGAATCAGAAAATAGCGACTGGGAATAACCTGCAGCAGCAGCAGCAGCAGCAGCAGTAGTAGTAGTAGTAGTAGTAGGAGCGGCTGTAGCTGCAGCAGAAGCAGCGGCAGGATCAAGCAGCAGCAGCGGCTGTAGCTGCAGCAGAAGCAGCAGCGGAATCAAGCAGCAGCAGAAGCAGCAGCACGATCAAGCAGCAGCAGAAGCAGCAGCAGGACCAAGCAGCAGCAGCAGCAGCAGCAGCAGCGGCAGCTGTATCAAGCAGAAGCAGCATCATCAGGAACAAGCAGCATTAGCAGCACTATCTAGCATCAACAGTAGCAGCAGAAGCACTTTCTAGCACCAGCAGCAGCAGCAGTAGCAGCAGTAGCAGCAGCAGCAGCAGCAGCAGCAGTAGCAGCAGTAGCACCTGTAGCACCAGTAGCAGCAGAAGCAGTATCAAGCAGCATCAGCAGTAGCAGTGCAGGATCAAGCAGCAGCAGCAGCAGCAGCAGCAGCAGCAGCAGCAGTGCCAGAAGCAGCAACGGCTGTCTCCGAAGCAGCAGAAGCAGCAGAATCAGATGCAACAACAACAGTCTCAGCAGCAGAAGTACCTTCAGCAGCAGTACCAGCAGCAGCAGCAACAGCAGCAGCAGGATTAAGCAGTCTGTCCCCTTTTGTACAGCTCTAGACAGACAGCTAAGTTTGAGAGGCGGAGAGAGTGCTGCATGTTGCCTTGCTGCTGCAGCTGCTGCTGCTGTTGCTGCTGCTGATGTTGCTGATGCTGCAGCTCCTCCCTCTGGAGCAGATGATTTTTGCGGGCGCAGCTCTTGCTGCAGCAGCACCAGCCGGTGCAGCAGCAGCAGCAGCAGCAGCAGCAAGAGAAAGGCCACACAAGTAGACTGCGTTCGGTTGTATAGGGCTTGAAGCAGTCTCTGTCTTTACTTTGTGTATTTGTCGTATCTCCTTTTGCTTGCGGAGAAAAAAAATTTATTTCTTTGTTTAATTTATCTGCACACTTAAAAAAAATCTCCAAGCAGCCTGCAGCAGCAGCAGCAGCTGCTGCTGCTGCTGCTGCACCAAACTTGAAGCACCAAACAACTGAGGTGTACATACACCGCAGCACGCTGCAGCCAAAGAGACAGAGAGACAAACGAAGAGAGAAGGAGACAGAGAGGACGTAGGCAGAGGGAGAGACATATATATGCATACATACATATATATATATATATATATATACATATATATACATATATATATATACATATATAGATAGATAGATATATAGATAGATATATAGAAAGATATATATATATATATATATATATATATGTAAATATATACATATGCATATATATATATATACATATATATATATATATATATATATAGAGAGAGAGAGAGAGAGAGAGAG